GATTACAGGTGTGAGCCACCTTACCTGGTTTTTTGTTTTAAACCTTCCAAATAGCCCAACAGCTAGTCACCATTGCATATGTCTTTTCCAGGAAATCCTTACTGACATTTTGGACTCCAATTTTTAAGTTTGCTAAATTATAAAAACATTGGAAATGCTAAAATAATAATAAAGACCTGATGCAGTAGCTCACGCCTGTAATCCCTGCACTTTGGGAGACAGAGGCAAGAGGACTGCCTGAGCCCAAGGATTCAAGACCAGCTTGGGTAACTTGGTAAGACCTTGTCTTTACAATAAATAAAATTTGCTGAGCATGGTGGTGCACACCTGTGGTTCCAGCCACATGGGCGGCTGAGGCGGAAGGATGGCCTGAGCCCAGGAGTTTGAGGCTGCAGTGGTTATGATCATGCCCCTACACTCCAGCCTGGGCAACAGAGACACTGACTCAAAAATAACAATAATAACAATAATAATATAATAAAGAAAAGCCTTGGGTTTTCGGGTCCCCTCCAGCTTGGGAGCTTTCCTGTATTCTTAATAAACTCCTGCTTTCTCACCAACAGAAAAAAAAAGAAAAAGCCTCCTCTGAAATCCAACCAGCTGTGAGACTTTGGCATGGGGCTCGTTGAGTGGACACCAGTGTAGACAGTGGATCCTGTCTGCGTTTCCACAGAGCAGTGAACAGAAGCATGGCCAGTTACCAGCAGAGGCCTCCTCGGGGACGGGCTCCAGGCATCCATGCCCACATGTTCTCCCGCCCCGCGACCCTGCCTCTGCCCTTTGCTTTTCCCTACACTTCCGGCCGTTTCTGCAGGGCACGTTCCCAAGGGCGCAGTCACGGGGTCAATGGCCCGAGCATCTGTGAGGAGTCTCTGGCACAGCTTCCCGAGTTTCCACATTTTGGTCTTCCCTTATCATTGTTATAAAAGCAGACACTCCCCTACGGGCTTCCTCTGTGCTGGGCTGCGTTCTGGTCGCCTTCACGTGCACACTGTGTCTCCTTATAATCACTGTGAGATGAGCACCATCAATGTGGCCACGTAGCAGATAGGCACAGTGAAACAGAGAAGTTGATGACCTGCACAAGGTCACCCAGCTGGTATCTGAAAGCTGGGCACTCTTCACAATTCTACACAGCTGTTCAGTCTCCACCCTCTTTTACCGAGCAGAATGAGTCTGGCTTTTTCCACAGCACAGGGGTGCCCCCACTTATTCAGCCACCACCTTTGTTTCCTTCTGTCATAATCTGAGGCAGACCCAGGATCGGTGGTGCCTGAGCTTTTATAATTTTTTTTCCGAGTTGGAGTCTCACTGTTGCCCAAGCTGGAGTGCAGTGGCACGCTCACAGCCACCCCAGGGTTGACCTGCTGGGCTCTGACGATCCTTCTGTCTCAGCCTTTCAAGTAGCTGGGAACTACAAGCACATGCTACTATGCCCAGCTAATTTTTTATTTATTGTAGAGACAAGGTTTTGCCAAGTTTTCAGGGCTGGTCTTGTACCCGCAGGCTCGGGCCACCTCTCACCTCTGCCTCCCAAAGTGCTGGGATTACAGGCTGAGCCACCAAGCCTGGTCAGCTTTTATAACTTTGAAGATCCACTTTAGAAGAAACTGTATCAAGTTACAGATTCAAAAGCAATGCAGGGACCAGGCACCGTGGCTCACGCCAGCAATCCCAGCACTTTGGTAGGCCAAGGCAGGAGAATGGCTGAGCCCAAGTTCAAGACAAGCCTGGGCAACATAGCAAGACCTCGTCTCTCCAAAAAATCTAAAAACTAGCCAGGTGTGTGCCTGTAGTCCCAGCCACTCAGGAGGCTGAAGCAGGATTGCCTAAACTCAGATCGAGGCTGCAGTGAGCCCTGACTGTGCCACTGCATTCCAGTCTGGGCAACAGAGACCCAAGCTCAAAAAGAAAAAACCGGCAAAGGGCCTTCGAAGGGCCCCGAAACAAAGTTCACTAGCATCACCCTAGTCCCAACGTGCCTTTTCCCCAGTTCCTGAGAAAATCTCCAGACAGCAAAATTGAGATTCTTCCTCCACACACCGTGCCCACCCTACCCTGGCCGGCGCTGCCTTGCCTTCCAGGCCACTGGCCCATGAACCCATTACTGTTCTGTGTGTTTCAAAGGAAGCTGCAAACTCTTAACTGGAGATCTGTACCTTTAAGTTTCTCTTTTGATGTAAAATCCAGACTTCTGACTCCTGGTGTTTGCACATATAGGAACAGACGCATTTCCCTCAGCAATTAAATACCAAGAATTTCCTGAGGACGCGTCCTTGATCAGCGGTGACCACTGCCACCTCCTGGTGTCCACGAATCTGACGCCCTGATGGCCGTCTCTGGGCATTAAGAGTTTCCTGTCTCCAGCGGGTTCCTGCAGACACTCCCCTAGCGACGATTTACTGGGTGAGAGGCTGGTGACTCGAGGGGCCTTGGTAGATGGCTTTTTTTTGAGGTCGGGTTCTCACTGTCTCATCCAAGCTGGAGTGCACTGGCACGCTTATGGCCACAGCAGCCTCAACCTCTTGGGCTCAGACAATCCTTCCACCTCAGCCTCCCAAGTAGCTGGGACTACAGGCACACACCACCACGCCTGGCTAATTTTTTTTTAGAGATGAGGTCTTACTATGTCATCCAGGCAGGTCTCAAACTCTTGGCCTCAGCCGTCCTCCCACCTCAGCTTCCCAAAGTGCTGGGAATGCAGGCATGAGCCACTGCGCCCAGCCAGGCTTTCACTTTTCCCTCTGACATGGCCCTCAACACACACACAGACACACACACACACACACACACACACACACACACAGAGCTGTTTTCTTATCTGCAGAACATTCTTTACTTTTATTTAAGATGAGAGAGGGGGAAGAACGGTAGAAATAGCTCCGTGACATCAGGCTGTTCTGCCGGGGGTGGTGGCAGAGGCAGGAGGCGCTGACGTTACTCTCGCCTTTACCCATTTCTTTTATAAATTGCCCGCTCTATTTTTATAAACATCTTGTCCTAGAGAAACCTTTTTTTTTTTTTTTTTTTTAAGTTGGAGTCTCACTCTGTCGCCCAGGCTGGAGTGCAGTGGTCGCTCCCAGCCACCGCAGCCTCGACCTGCTGGGCTCCGGCGATCCTTCCACCTCAGCCTTCCAAGTAGCCGGAATTACAGGCGCGCACTACCACGCCCGGCTGATTTTTTTATTTATTGTAGAGATGAGGTCTCGCTGCCTGCCCGAACTTTCAAAAGGCTGTAATAAAAAAATAGAGAAAGACAAACAGAAAGCTAAAAACACAGCACTTCTGCCTGACACCACAAAGTCAAAAACAGCCTAAGAGAAACAAAATATGTATGTCAGACTTTGGTTCCATAATTTAAAAAAGCTTATTAAAGGCCAGGCACAGTGGTTCATGCATGCCTGTAATCCCAGCACTTTGGGAGGCCAAGGCAGGAGGACTGCATGAACCCAGGACTTTGAGACCAGCCTGAACAACATAGCAAAGTCCTCGTCTCCACAAAAATTAAAAGCAGGCCGGGTATTGTGGTGCACGCCTACAGTCCCAGCTATTCGGGAGGCTAAGGTTAAAGGATTGCCTGAGTCAGCACTTTGGGAGGCCAAGGTGGGAGGGACACTCGAGACCAGGAGTTCAAGACCAGCCTGGGCAACACAGTGACACAAAGGTCTGCAGCAGCACAGGAAAGCACACCCCACAGCCTGTGGAGGGCACAGGACGACCCCATCAACTGACCCGTCAGACACATGTTTCCTTGAGCCCAGCCATCTCGACACTTTTCCTAGACACACGTGAGAAGCAGACAGAGACTTTCATTCCGACTTCCCCTGGAGCAGCATGGCCTGGTCATGTGACATCACACACACCCACACCCTGGGGGGCTGTGCCATGGGAAGTGAGGAAGCTCTGAAGACTGGACAGTCCCCAGAGGCACTGAAAGCATGTGGCAGAACCAGGTGGGGACGGTCCTAACAGACATCAGAACAATTCCATTCTCACTCACACATGCATGTAACACAGTAGAATCACACATGGAACACCACCCACACCTGGGCATCTTGGCAAGACCTTGCCTCTACAACAAACCAAAAAATTAGCAGCATGTGGTGGCATGCGCCTATAGTTCCAGCTACCTGGAAGGCTGAGGCAGAAGGATCACCTGAGCCCAGCAGGTCGAGGCTGCGGTGGCCGTGGTGTGGCACTGCACTCCAGCATGGGTGGACAGAGTGAGACTCCAACTCAAAAAAACCCACCCCATAAGAGCAGGTGTGAGGGGAACAGAGGAAAACAAACCGCATTGCGTGCACCTCAAGTTCCTCACTGCTCCCATGCAAGTAAGCACAGCCCTCACCCCCACAACCCTGTTGCTGCGAGGGCCCCAAGAACTAAGCCACCCACTTAACACCCAGCAGGTGGCCGGCAGGCACCAGGGCTGCCATCACATCCCCCACTGCCAGCACAGAGGCTCTTGGCCACCATGGCAGGATGGAGACAGGTCCGAGTCAGAACGCCAGGCCAGCTCTCAGTCCCGTGCTCTGCCCCTCTGTGTCTGACAGGCTGCAGGTCCCACGGCACCTGCGTCTTCAGGCCCACCACTCCAGCCAGCTGCCGGCCTTACCACTGCTGGGCAAGCCAGGATGCAGTCGGCAACAGCCTGTGACGTGCCCTGAGACTTGCTTCCTCTGGGGGAGGAAGGTTTGGCAGGCACCACCTCATGTGCCCAAGGGGCAGGCACAGAGGTGTCACACACGGAGGCTGTCCGTGGAAGGGGACAGGTCACATGTGAAGCCCCAGTGGGTTGGAAGGTGCTTTATTGAAAGGCAGGGGCTCCAGCGTCCGGCGGCTACAACCTGGGGAGAAGAGAGGGGATGAGGACGCCCACGTCCAAGCACACCCGACCGCCTATTCAGTTTCCCACTGGGGACCCGCCCACCCTCTCCGGGCCAGGGGAGGGCTCCGTTCCTGTGTGAGCGAGCAGGACCTTGCCAGCGCCGGGGGGCCACTCACTGGATCTCGCGGAATGCCCGCTTCTCTACCAGCTTCACCTTGTACTTGCGCTTGAACCTGAGGAGGGACCGGGAGCCGTCAGCAGCCGCCCCCAACTCAGGTCGAGGCCCCGGTACCCCGTGCCCCTCCTCCCCAGCAGCCGGGCCTCACTTGGCTCTCTCCCGAGGCTCGATCATGTTCCTCCTCTGGAAGCTCTTGAAGCGGTCCTGGAGGATGTTGCCCTCGGGCTGTGGGACACAGGGTGGCCTCAATGGGATGGCAGACGCCCTAGGGCTCCGGGGTCTTCCCAGGCCTCTGGGCACTAGGGCTCAGTCCAGCCCTGAGCTGGGAGGCTCAGCATCAGGGGGGTGGCCACTGCCCCTGGTTGCCTCTGAGTTGGGAGGAGGCTGGGGACAAAGTGGAAAAGGGAACGCCAGGGGCAACAGCTGCCGTCTGAGGCCCAGCTGCTGGAACCCACAGTGAGGCCAGGGCAGGCCAGACTCGTGGCTGCAGGGGTAGCTGGGCTTCCTTTAGGGCACTGTGGAACCACAGCTGATTCGGGGGTGGGGGGGAGCCACATGGCCAGTTGTGAGCTTCAGGAAGGCCCCTCTAATCTTGAAGAAGCTGAGACAGGACAGGGAGACTGGGGACTGAGGTGCAAACCCAGATGGAAGGAGAGGCCTTCTGAGGGCCTCAGGCTCAAACTGCCACCCGGGCCCTCACCCTGGTAGCCCACTGCAGGACCTCATGCCCTCAGCCCCTGGACACTGGCCCAACCGGCCCAGCCCAGGGGCAGCCAAGGTGTCGCCCACAGCCCCTGGGGGCACGGGGAGCAAGGATGGTGTCATCACCGGGCACAGCCCCACAGACTGCACTCCCGAGTGGGTGCGTACCTTCAGGGTCCTGAGCGAGTCAGACAGGTCTGAGCTGAGCTGTACGTCGATGTCAGGGGCCTGGTACCTGGAAGATGGGGCGGGTGCTCGGGGCCACTGAGTTTAAAGCCTCCACCCCAGGGGAATGTGGGCTCTGGGAACGTGGGGCTTGGCGAGGAGGTGGGGAGGGGGCGGGAAGGCATCAGCACGTGGGGCCCAGCCTCCCCCCGCCCCCC